TATTGCGGATTCGGGCTGCCCTCCTCAAGCCGCACACGACCATGTCATCGGAAAGAAAAAATAAAAAAATTTAGGCAGTCTGCCAACCGCCGACGGGTCCACCTACGGGTCAGCCGGACTGGTAGGCGCGCCTACCGCCTACGGTAGGGGTAGGCGGTAGGCGCCAAAACAACCCTGGTCTCACGCAAATATGCAGGCCCACCTTCACTTAGGGCGGGCACGAGGCTTGCTGGGGCTTGAGTCCAGAACGTCTGTGTGCTCGAGAAAGGGCCTTGCAAGGGCTCAATCCTCACACCCATCCCCCTTTGCTTCAAAAGTCTGCTGAGATGATTCTACGCAGGTGCTTTCCACTTTAACTTCCGTTCATACTTCGCCACGACCTGAGGTGCTGTTCTGACCAGCTCCTCTCGTGTGAACCAACGGTCTTCTTTTGGATCTGTATGATGCCTGAATCTGACCCGGTACTCCCTCATTGGTTTTTCCGGTCTTCCCCTGCCCACAGGCTTGGGGACAGACAAATCTCTGTGTTCCAAGATGTCCTTGATGCCGACATGGCCATCCATGGTTGGAGGCAGCATTGATCTACTTGATGGGAACTTGTCAGTCTCAGCGAAAGGTGCAAGCTTGGAAGCGTGAAACACAAGCTAAGTGTGCAGATGTCCATGGATTTTAATCACCTAAGAGGGTCCATCCAAATCACTACCCACGATGTCCAGGATTTCCCGAGGGCCAAAGTACTGAGGCATTAGCTTTCCAGAGATGCTGAATTCTTGTCCTAACTCACTAGCCTTTACCCAAACACATTCCCCCACCTGAAATGTGGACCGTCGTCTGTGCTTGTTCTCAAAGGCAATCATTGCCTCCTGAGATTTTCTAATATGCTCGACAGCCTGCTGCAACAGCTTCTCATGCTGGACACCAAATTCGATGGTTCCAGGAGTTACAGCTGGTCGGTTTTCAGGAAGGAGGAAGTCTAGTGCAGATCTAGGCTTCCACCCGAAATGCAGCTCATTCGAACAGACGACTGTGGTGCTGTGAACAACGTTGTTGTACAGGCTGGCAATGAGAGGTAGCTTCTCATCCCAGTTATCCTGGTTGTGCTTAGTGTAATCCATGAGCAGGTGCTGCACCACGCGGTTCATCTGCTCCGCTTGGCCATTAGCTTTGGGATGGTTTCCCAAAGTCATTTGGGGTTGGCTGCCCATTTGTTCAGCAACCTTCTTCCACATCTCACCGTTGATGATATCTCTGTTGCTGGCGATAGACTTGGGCAATCCAAAATCTCGTACCTAGTTATCCATGAATAACTTGATAACGTGCTCAGTCTTTGCCCTAGTAAACATGTCCACTATGACGAAAATGTGCCTCTTGCCACTCTTGGTAGTCACGAGGGTGTCCATGAAGTCCATGGAAATGCTCTATTCAAGACCTGCAGGAATGGGCAAGGGTTTGAGTCGCGGCTTTTCCCGCTGACAGACCTCTGACAAGTCTGGACGTAGTTCTTCACATCGTCAAGCATACCAGGCCACCAAAAACGCTGCACTAAGTTAGCACTAGTCTTTTTACATCCGAAATGTCCTGTTGCATCATGACATTCTCCTAGAAATAAACTACGCAAAGACTCACTAGACGACACACATAGTCTTTTCAAACCGGCCTTCTCAAGGAAGAGGAGCCCATCCACCATCACAAACTCATCAGATGTGGCCTTGTCTTGGGCCTCAAGTTTGCGTATGATGTCCACCATGATGGGGTCTTCCTTGTAGGCATCAACCAGGGATCGAGTTATATCATATGATAGGCCAAACTCATTTATCAGCGCACCTACGTAGTCTGTGCTAGATGACAACGTATCAACAACCTTATTGCAGTCCTCGTTCACATAATCTAGCTTGAAGTCATATTGATTTGTGACCTTAATCCAGCGTTTGAGTGCGCCGGAGAGAACAGGCTGCATCTTGATCCACTTGAGAGTCTGATGGTCGGTCCTCAAGTAATAGAACCTTCCCAACAGATAATGCCTCCAATGGACAAAAGCTTTGTAGAGGGCATAAATCTCCCCTTCGATGGATTTCACCAACTTCTTTGATGGCATCTTCTTACTCATGTACTCGATCGGCCTTAACTTTTTCCTTTCCTGTTGAGCCAACACTACGCCAATTTCATATTGGCTTGCGTCGATGGTCACGATGAATGGCTTTTCAGGATCCGGGACCATGGGAACCTCATGATGTGTGAGAGCATGCTTCAGTCGTTCGAAGGCTCCCCCACATTTGTCAATCCATTCCTATAGTGCGTCAAGGCGTGTTAGATCACTAAAGGGGGCGGCCACCGTACTATAGTTTTTCACAAAGTTGCGGTAGTAGCCTGTCATCCCCAAGAAAGATATGACCTACGTCACAGACTGAGGTCGTGGCCAGTAACGAATGCTAGCCACCTTCGCATCTTCGGGCCTAACCCCATCCGTGGATACCTCATGACCCAAGTACAAGATTTTGGTGCGACCAAACTCGCATTTCTCCAAGTTGATCTTATACATGTGCTGCTGCAGGAGTCCTGGCACAAGATCGACGTGTTGTGCGTGCTCTTCGATAGTCTGATTAAAAATAAGAATATTGTCAAGGTACACGATAATAAACTGATCTAAGTAGTCATGAAATACCCTATTCATGGCGTGCTGGAATGTACCCGGCGCATTGCAAAGGCCAAAAGACATCATCACAAAGCTCGTACAGACCATACCTGGTCTGAGATGCAGTTTTGTGCTGATCCTTTGGTCTAATGGTAATTTGATGGTGGCCGGATTTAAGGTCTATCTTGGTAAAGTACCTGCATCCCAGTACCCTATCCAATAGGTCGTCGATGCGGGGTAGAGGCTTTGCGTTCTTCACTGTGATGACATTGAGATCTCCATAATCAATGCACGTCCTTAATGATCCCCCTTTCTTCAAAACTCATAGGACTGGTGACCCGAAGGGCGATGTGCTAGGTCGCATCCAACCCTTTTCTGTGAGCTCTTTCAATTGTCGACGAAGCTCGTCCAACTCGGTCGGAGCCATCCTATAGATCCTCCCCTTTGGCGTCTTATATGGCATGGACAACCTCCCTGTCATACCTACTGCTCCTGAATACAACACCCCCAATCATCATGAATGTATATAAGCCGTTTTCCTGACCAGGTGCTGTCAGAATGACCAGGTGTTGTGTTCTGGTGGAAGAAGGTAGGCTGGTCGCTCGCATATCAGGGAAGAAAGCTAGGACATGAGCAGTACCGACAAAAAATGTCTGAAGGACAGAGTGCGAAATGTGCTTGTACCGATGCAACGGGGCCTTGAGGACATACTATCGCAACAATTGTGTGGTCCCCACACCAAGCATGAGGTCCGGGGAGGGTATCCCCGTGAGAGCTCCACCACTTTTTGTTTTGCTTTTTCTTTTGCTTTCGCTACACATGCACACCACAATTCTGATGTTAACCGTCTGCCTTGACCGCCTTTTTCTTCTTTTTCCCTCTTTCTTCTCTCGTCCGCCCCCCACCCCCCACTCCATCCCCCCTCCCCCCTCTCAAGCCTGTGATCCTTGACCCGTCGCTTTCATCTCCTTGGAATGTGACTTTTATGAGAACTTCAACTTGATGCTAGGACTGACTCATCCATCTGTCCGTTCTATGCTGCTGCCTCGGCTGCAGTAGCGGCAGCAGAAGCAGCAGTACTTCAGCCAAAGTGGCAGTACCAGCAGTACCGGTAGCAGCATCACCAGCAGCAGTACCAGCAGCAGCAGCAGCGGTAATACCCCCAGCAGCTGTAGCGGTAGCAGCAATAGAAACAGCTGCAACAGCAGTGGCAGTAGCAGCAGCAGTAGCAGGAGCAGGGGCAGGAGCAGGAGCAGGAACAGGAGCAGGAGCAGGAGCAGGAGCAGGAGCAGGAGCAGCAGGAGCAGCAGGAGCAGCAGCAGTAGCAGTCGCAGTGACAGTAGCAGCTTCGTCATCAAGAGAAGCAGGAGCAAGAGCAGTGGCAGTAGCAGCAGCAGGAGCAGCAGCAGCTGCAGTAGCAGGAGCAGCATCAGCAGCACATGAGCAGGAGATACAGCAGCAGCAGTGGCAGTGGCAGCAGTAGCAGTAGCAGTAGCAGCAGCACAGCTGTAGCAGCAGCAGTAGCAGTAGCAGTGGCAGCCTGTCTGTATGATTGCTCTTGCAGTGTTTGGCACACAGTGGTAGCAGGTTTGTGAACACAGTTCGTGAATTTTTTTTTGTTGCTGTCAATGGTTGATTTCTGTCGGTGTCAGCAGCTGCAGCTACAGCCACAGCAGCATCAGGAGCAGTAGAAGTATTAGAGTAGGGCAGCATGAGCAGCTCATCGGCAGGAGTAGCAGGAGCAGCAGTAGAAGCAGTAGTAGCAGCACAGCAGTAACAGCGGCAGTAGCAGCAGCAGCAGCCTGTTTGTGTGCTTGCTCGTGCTGTGTTTGGCGTGCAGTTGGTAGCATGCTTGTGAACACAATAAATTTGCTGTGCTGTTGATGTCAGTGGTTGGTTTCTGTTGGCCGTCGGTGGTAGATCTAGAGGGCAAGTTTGCGGGTCATTGTTGATTTGATTGATTTCATTTTTTTGTGTTTGTCAGACTTCATGTGATAGATCTGTGGGCCAAGTTAGGGATTGTTTGTTGTTGTTGTTGTTGTTTTCCCTTCTTCTTTCTTCGGTGGCCCGATGGATAACTACATGATCTATTTTTAGCCAAAATTAATCATTATTTAAATGCCAAGATTTTTTATTTTTATTTTTTCTACCCCTTCTGTTTTGGTGGCCCAATGGATAAGTACATGATCTATTTGTAGCCAAAATGCAAATAAATTACAGGATATATTTTTAGCCAAAATGTCAAGAAACATGGAGGAAGGTTTTTGGGAATTCTTTTGTTGACATCAATGGTTCGTTTTTCGTTTTTTTTTGTTTTTTTTCGGTTCTTCTTGTGGCAGCAGATCTGCGGGGCAATCGCCGACATGTCGATGAAGGTCAGGTTGGAGGCGTGTTTGGGGCTCGGTCGTCTTGTCAGAGCAAGTGAGAAGGTTCTAATTCAGTCCTTAAGCAAGAAGATCCTCCTCAATAAAGACACCAGAGATAGAGACGAAAGGGATACCGAGCGGCTGGAGGTCAATGGAGGCGGAGGGGGGAAGGAGGAAGAGTCTATTCCCATGGACGATGACGATAATATTGAGGTTTCGAAAAATGCAGAAGGAAACATGCTATTGGCGAACGTCTCAGCAGGGGTGCTAATCCATGCGTTGGAGGATGAGTTCAAGGAGGTAAGGGAGGGTGGGAGGCAGCGCGAGGGGTGAGAGAGGGGGGGTGGAAAGAAAAGAACGAAAAAGAAAAGAAGAGAAAAAGAGAAATGGGAAAAGAAAAAGAAGTTTGCAACTCCACGCGGTAAGGACCAACGGGCCTTTCAAGAAAGGAAAAAAAAAAAAAAAAAAAAAAAGGATCAACGGGCCTAGGTCAGTCGGTACATCCATAAACTGTTGAAATACTGACCCAAGTTCGAATCCCGATGGACCTACATGAATGCAATGCATTCAATGCAATGAAATACTTCTGAATGACCTGGGACCGATCAGTTCAATCAACTTGAATGATGATATCTCAAGGCTGCTGATCTTTTTTTCTTTTGAGGGTAAGGGGAAAAAGGGGGAAAAAAAAAAAGAAGAAAAACTCTGAAAAGGTTTGCAACTTTGCATGGCAGCCAAAGAAGTTGCGGTTTTCGTATTAATAATTCTCTCTCTCTGTCTGCTTTGTGCTGTAATTGTGGTCAGATACATTCACAACTGCAATGACGACAACAAAAAAAAGTTTGGTTGGTCCGTCCCGCAGCGACCAGTTTCCGTCATGTATCGCACCGTCATGTATCGCACTGTGTTTGCAGTCGAATTCAGTCTGAAGCTAGGGTAGCAGAGACACCCGGGTGGGGACCCATGCAGTCTGCACAGTCGGCCACCTGCCCAGGGTGCTGCGGGGTTGCTGGCAAGAAAACAATGCCCTTTTTTTTTGTTTTTTTTTTGCGGGGGCAGGAGGGGGGAGGGAGTGGTAGGGCATTGCTACACATGCGCTGAGATCTGTGCAGATCTAGGGTTGATGAAGGAGGGAGGGAGGTGGTGCAAGGGAGGATACAGGAAGAGGGTGTGCGGGAGGAGAGAGGTAGACGGCATGAGGGGGAAGGGACATGGAGCAAGGGAGAAGGGAGGTAGATGGCGGGAGGGAGGAGGGAGGCAGACGGCGGGAGGGAGGAGGGAGGTAGATGGCAGGAGGGAGGAGGGTGATGAAGTGGCAGAGGAGAGAGGTAGATGGTGCAGGCCCCCAAACTAGGAAAACTTTCTTTTTTTCCCTCTTTCTAAGCTATGTTTTCCTCTCAAATTCATCTTTACCCTACCACTACTCCTAAGCCTATACAGATGTTATGTACCCGATTGAACTTCAATCCACAGTGAATGTGCGCGGCCCCATACACAAATGCAATTGCAGAGTAGACACGAAGGAGGCAAATCCACACAAAACCAGAGAGAGAGAGATGCACAGCGTAAGCTCAATACACCGGTACAATTGAGTATGAAATTCCATTCTGGTTTCTTCCCCGTCCTCCTCCAATCAATCCAGAGTAATTTTTTATTCCAAGAATCACAACCGCGTCGTCAACAACAACCCCGAGCAACCACAATCGAATTTTCAACGAAGTATCCGGGAGTCTTCGTCTTCCTCCTCGCCACCTCATCACCCTGGCTATGGCTGCTGTAGCAACAATAACCCCCAAACTGTCACTGCATACCAATCTGAACTAGCACCCTCAGCATTTCGCAGCGCCAGCTCAGCGCCCGCGCGGAAGTGCAGCGCCGCAATCCTGATGAAGAAGCAGACAACCATGCAGGTACTCTTCGAAGAAGGTGAAGTTCGTCGTGAGGAGGAACAACAGTTATGGTGGCCAAGCAGAAAGATGGCACCGCCCCAACACCCCACAACAAAGTCCGGTGGAAGCTCTCATGTAGCACTGGACAACAGTAGCAGGGTGCTCTTCCAACTCCTGTTGCGACTCCAGCTATGGCTGGGCTTCGATGAAGAAGATGACCTCGCCCAAAATAGCGCTGCTGCGCGCCAACAATGGAGCGGAGGGGCAGAGTTTCCCCAACCGGCACCAACGTGAAAAGACCGGAAACCAATTTTCTGCCGGCTACGTCTACTCACAGACTAGACTTACAAGGGACTCCTAAGGCAGCAACCCAAGAATAATCTGTATCTGCAACAGAAACTGGGGAAAAGGGGGGCTCCGACCTATATGGCACGGCAAAAGGAAAAGGCCCAATGGCCTAAGACTGCCCGTATAGGGACTACTAGTGACAGATCTAAGGGTCAAGCCCAATAGGGCTCAAGGCTAACAGACATACAAGTTGCAGGTCATGGGATCGAGTCCCGGAAAGCTAAAAAAGCAGGCAAGAAAACAAACACACAACCAACCTAACAGTTACTATACACCCGCTGTTACCTGCAAGTTCATTGCGCAGAGGACCCCTCCCTGCAAGCATCACTACCTTTCACAATCAAGGGGATGCCTGTTGCCCCCCGCCCCCTAATTGGTGGTGCCCCCCGCCCTACTCGGCGGTGGTTAGGGAGTAGGGTGGGACTGCTGGCGGTTAGGGAATAGGGAGGGAGGGGGCGGCCAATGCAAAGATCGAGCATTTCGCCAGTAGCTGCACCTCCCATCTGCTTCCTCCACCCCATTTAGTAAGAGCAGTGTCGAATGCCAACTCTCTCTCCCATGCACCACTCACAACCACACACAACCACCCACAGGCACACACATACACACCCCGTGAAGACCCTACCAATACCCACCAGGGGCAGGAAGCCAACTATCTCAGTCAGTTGACACCAAGCGTGCCCCAGGCCGTCAGTGGGGTTCGAAGTTTGAACACACAACCTCCTGAATACCAGTTGTGTGCCTAACTAACTGAGCTAGGCTGCTTGCTCAAACTGTGAAAACTATTGGTCTTTTTTTTTACTTTTTTTTTCCCAAAAAAAACAGGTCCTTATGGTCTTGGCTCCATTTCCATTCCGGGGAGCGTCAGTCCAGTTCCTTTCCACCGGCAAGTTTAAAAAATGGAATACACGGTGAACACCCTCACGCTTCCTTCCGTCTGGCGGAATAGAAGAACTGTTAGTGTTTTCAGTGTTTTCACCTTTTTGCTATTTGAACTCCGAAGTTTTTTAACTTTTTTAATTTTTATTTTTATTTTTTTTCACAAGGAAAAGCTTTTGTTATTAAATTGTTAACCAATTCAAAAGTTTTCAAGGTTGTTATAGCAGTAATAGAACTCATGGGTACATTACTACATTGTTAGGTTGTTCATGGCTCTAGAACAGTAAGGTTCTGTTTTTGCGGGAAAAAAAAAAGAAAGGTTCTTTAACTTCTTTTCATGGCTCTGAGTTGTTTGTGTTTTGTTTGCCAGGTCCGTCTTGCAGCGATCGATTCCATCACCAAGTTGGGAAAAGGGTGCTCTGCGTTCGCGAAGAGAGCCTCCGGCTTTTTACTCGATATGCTGAGCGATGAGTTTCATTCCGTCAGAGTCCGCGCTGCCAACGCATTGCTGGAAATGACAGTATCGTATGATGTGAAGGTTCGTCGTATGTAGTCCACATTCCCATGGCCTTGTCTCAGACTAGAGCATACTCACACTAGGACTTCCCTATCGTTGGATGTATCGGGCCACAATTGCGGCCGTAGGTCCTGGATATATCTGACCATGATCAAGTCCAGAGAGGAGTCAAAAAGTGACTGAGGCAAGGTATGTACGTTCCATAGTTGCGGCGCACCAGTGCACCATGCGGTCGGGCGGGTGCGCAGTGCGCTGTGCGCTGGAATTACAGCGCCCGCGCTGCAAGCAGCGCACAAAGTGCGCAAAAAAACAACAACATTTTTTTGTGCCACAGAGAGAGAGAGAGAGAGAGAGAGAGAGAGAGAGAGAGAGAGAGAGAGAGAGAGAGAGAGAGAGAGAGAGACCAAAGGGCCCCCTTTACGTCAAATTAGAGGCCCCTGCAGGTAACTCAATGGCTCCGACAATACACTTGGACATTGTGGAGGCATTGGGGACCGTTGCTTCAACAAGCAGGATGGCCGCGCCATATATGGAAGAGGTGGGAACAGACCACCAATATATGCTGTGGGTTCGAGTTCAGGTCTATAGCCCGGCAGTTATGGGTCACCGATTCAGCTAGACCCTGTTCGTGTCTCCACCTGCTTCTCAGGGCCTAGCTCCACCACTCACCAAATGTATAACATTAGAATGAATCTTCTGCTAAAACATGGAACCATACACTGCCATATGGTATATCTTTTGTGCATATGGTGAGTAGTGGAGAGAGCCCCCTTGGTCCACTGTACGTATTCATAAGAAAACAAAAAGAAAAAAGTGAGCGAGCTACAGGCATCTTCATCCTAACCCATAACTGTCGATGTGCAGACCTGAATGCCAATCTTCAGCATATATTGGTGGTCGGCTGGCCTCGCCAAACATACGTTGTGACTTCTGTGGAACACTGTGGGGCAGGTCGCTATTGGGCAATTACACCCTTCTCGCAAATTTTTCCCACCGCTGTGTGCGGTGCGTGGTGCGCAAACCCCTACTTTTTTTGTTCTTTTTGTTTTTTTTAAACCCTAATTTTTGGGGTGTGGTGCGCTTTGGTGCGGTGCGTGGTGGGCAAACCTGCGCACTGAGGTGCGCCGCAACTATGGTACGTTCGTGTGACTTTGCCTCGGTCATTTGTCGAGTCGATCGGCTGCGATCACGAATTCTTATGAACCCAGTGCATGCTCATGCTATAATTTTTCTCACCGTACCTGACCGTTATTTTGATCAGGTTCTTCCGGGATAGTCCAAGTGTAAGGAGGAGTGCGGTCTTACTCAAAATCGTGGCCGCAGTGATACATAGGAATATCGCCAACAAATCTTTTTTTTTTTTTTTGTGTGTGTGTGTGTGTGTGCGTCTTTCAGTGAACAAAGCTTCCGCGATAGCATCATGCCATTTTTTTTATTTTTTTTTAATGGGGGAAAAAACTGTTGTGGCATGTTGCGTTGAAGAGTGCACCGTTACGAAGCCCAAAACAGACCCTTCTGTCCTTCGTGACATCCTTTAAAAAAATTGGAACGATACAGAGAAGATTAGCATGGTTCCTGTGCACCTACCTGGTCTTGGCAATGGTCTACAGGGTCGACATCTTCATGTACTTCTGTTGCTGCTGCTGACACGCAGAAATCGAGAAATGGTCCAAATTTTTAAGACGAGAAAAGAAAAAAAGAACCTTGTCCCAGCACGGAACTAACCAGGTAGAGGGACCCATAAGAGACCCATCAGGGACCCATCAGAGACCCATCAGGGACCCATCAGAGACCAATCTTTCCACTGTCTTCACCCGAATAAGGTAAGGAGGAAGCTAAGGAGGGAGGGACCAGAGAGGCCTAGAAGGGCATAGGAGAGGGCAGGGGTTAATCCTCCCGGAAAAGGGGGCAATCAATGCCCTGGGCCCATGGAAAGAGCCTAGAGTAACATAAGCCAGGAGTAAAACAAAGTAGCTTTAGAATCAGAGGGTAAGTTTTTATTTATTTACTAATTAGTAATTAGTATTTACTTATGCAATAACTCAGCTCAAATCATGCATCTGTCGTGGGCTAAGGGTCGTCATTTTGATCTAAGGCGGAGATAGGGGGGGTCGAACGGCCACACCCCAGTCATGAACACAGCCTGAACGAAGGCCTGCTATTGTGGGGTACCGGGAGCAAGGCCTAAAACCGGCCTTCAGAGGCCCAACGTGCGACAGTTGACTGTGGAAAGTCGAAGGTCCACAGCAGCTCGGCAATTCAGGCTCACGAGTCGAAGTCAACATGGAGCCAGTCCAGGCCGCCGATCAAACACATACACTTGGCTGTTTGCAGGTATCTGTCAAGGATAAAGTCCAAGTGGGAATCTGTAACTGTAAAGATCCAGGCCATTGGCTGCGAGACAATCTGGGCCATCGTACCTGAGAGACCAGAGGCTGGTCAACTGGAGTCGACACTATATATTGACTCAGCAGGGCCCCTGCTGAGCGGCATTCAGTCTTGGACTTGCTACTTGACGCTGGCTTGACGCCTGCTCTAGACACTGGCTTGACATTGACGACGGCGCAAGACTGCTGAAGCTTTGGGCTGATGCCTTCTCCGTCTGTGGCGCCAGCTGGATACTTTACTTTGCTGACGTGGTTCTTGCCACACTGTCTACGAGATTGATGAGACACCGGTGAGGAGGAGGATCAGGGCCGTGAGATTGTGGAAAGCTTACCTGTCTGCGTTCGTGATCGATATTGCGCATTGCTGATTCGTCTTCAGAGGTTGTCTGCGCTGTGCAGGCGCCACGTGGTCTGTTCATTGTCAAAGAGTGTCAGAGGAGACTGTCTGCTGACGTGGAAGTTGGAGATGCCCGAAGGAGGAGTGGGCTTGTGAGGGAGATCTATCTGCTACGCCGATGGACACTTTCTCTTCCACCCTCCAAGTCTTATCTCCCTCCTATCAGCCTCTTGTCTGGTGACATGACATTGGGCTACTTGATTACTCGTACAATTTTTGGAGGCATTGTATCTGCGCTGAGACATACTGCTTCTTGACATTGACGAGCTTTCTATCTGAATGGGTTCATTGCACTTATTTATTTCTTTATTTATTTCTTTATTTTATTTATTTAACAAGATAGCTTTAGAATCAGAGGGTCAGGGGGTCAGTCAAACCGCCACTCTACCCAACACCCATAAACTGGTATTCCGGTGAGTTAGGTGCGGGTTTTTAGGGGGGGGCACCGACCGGCAGGCTCAGGCGGGTCCAGTCCCACAATTTTCAAGTGCCAACTTTGGCGATCTTTTTCGCGGTCAGAGGAATTGAGAAAAAATCTGGCAATTTGTGATCCTGGGGCCAGGACCCACTAGCGTGGGACGGTGGCGTGTGACACCATTTTGGCAAATGAAAAATGGTTTCTGTATTTTTTCAGATTTGAAAAACTTGCTTTCTATGAGTTAGTGAAAGTAAAATTCAGCTTAGGGTGCTCCCATCAGCCAATGGGCTGTGAGCCATCGAATTCGTCGCCTCTTCTTTTTCTGGGTGCGTGCTGCACTCAGCCTATCGGCTGGGTCCTCTAAAGGTCGTTGCTGTCAGGTCACTATGATATTTGGCAGTACACACGACTTTCTTCTTTTTTTTTTTGGTCGGCCTTTTTTGTGCACGTGAAGCACTGTAGCAAGGTCACATTATT